CCCCTGCTCTAATGTGTTCCACAGTGCTTATAAACAAACATAATCAGAGATGTGAACACAACACTGGACTGAAGAGCCCTTTTAAACCTATAGATAATGCTAATCTAACTACACATATACACTACATACTCAACTACACACATAACATACGGCTGCCACGTCAGATATTGTGCATAAGAGGTATTTAAGGTTGAAGGAACCCAGTAGTGCCGCATGATTGTGTGCTACAGTCACAGGTGAACACTGTTTTCCTGATTGAGTCCTCTAAGACGGAGTGCAGTGCATGTGGAGAGTAGAGTGTGTCTACAGGTGGTTTGTCAGGCCCACTCACCTGCGTGAGGCACACTCAGAAATGCACAGGGCTTTATGGAGATGTGGAGTGAGGGTATGAAAGTGTCTGGAGCACGAGTTTGAGTTTCTCCACATCAGACTGTTCCGAGAGCTGCTGGACGCTGGATCTCTGGTGGCAGATTGAGTGTTTGGAAGGCCAGTCCGGCACTTCTATCTCTGACCTCAGGTAAAGATGCCGCTGTTTATCTCTCAGGTGGATTGCTCTCTTACTAACCTATGATAACTCAAGATTTCCTCTATAGGTATCCCAGAGTGGCCGAGGATGAAACTCAATGCTGTTGAAGACTTGAAGGCACCCCAGCACAGACCTCATTAGCTAACACTGAGCGGAGGGATACATCATCTGCAGTCTGCTAAACATAACAACGTGTGGAGTGTGGAGGATCAATCCAGTGGAGATCATGTGAACACTAATGTCCAGTTCACACCAAACATGACGCCATCAGCGAGTACCTTTACATGGACACCAATAATCTGATTTTAATAGACGATACTCTGATCATGAGTCCACCAGGTAAACAGCAGTTTTTAATTAATATATGGTCATAATGGAACTAAAGGGGAATCAGATGAAGACGTGTGGAGTATGCGGAGTGTGGAGTCCTCCAGCAGTCTTTACTTCATACTCGCATCCAGTAGCTCAGAGTGTGCGGCAGGAGGCAGGAGTGAAATGCTCCTGAATGAAGGAGATTGTGCTGAACTGCAGCTAAAGTCCGCAAATAAAGAAGTAAACGCCCGAAGGTGCAAGACACCCTGGAGGAAACGTGGACAGGTAATGTGTAAAACAGATTCAAACAGCAGCTCATGCACACAGCGTCATCATATTAATGTCTCACTCAGATTAAAGCAAATCCTCCATCACTGATGTCCATGCAGACCTGCTCATTGGCATGGCTTCACTGACAGCAGAGCACCTGGACTCAGGTGAGGGTCCGGAACACTAATGGACCCCCAGCAGTTTGATTGACAGGTCAACTTTTGGCAAACCACAAGAGCATTACTGCCACCTGCTGGAGCTTCAGACCAGAGCATATCTCCCTCAGAGAGCCCTCTCCACACCGCCAGCAGAGTGTAGTGAACAAGACACGATCAAGAATTACTCTGTGTGTCTGGAATCTTCAGGGGTTTCACCATTTCTGTGCTTGTGTGGAGCAACTGAATCTCACCATCATTAAAAATAGATATTTGTATTAAAAATGACTCTGGATGAGGGCAGCACAGTGGCACAGTGGTCAGCACTGTGGCCTCACAGCAAGAAGGTCACTGGTTCAAGTCTCAGCTGGGTTAGTTGGCATTTGTGTGTGGAGTTTGCATGTTCTCCCCGTGTTGGCGTGGGTTTCCTCCGGAGGCTCCGGTTTCCCCCACAGTCCAAACACATGCGCTATAGGGGGACTGACCAACTACACTGACCGTAGTGTATGTGTGAATGAGTGTATATGGGTGTTTCCCAGTACTGGGTTGTGGCTGGAAGGGTATCCGCAGCATAAAACATTTGCTGGAATAGTTCGACCCCTGATGAATAAAGGGACTAAGCTGAAGCAAAATGAATGAATGAATGAATGAATGAATGAATGTGGATGGAACAGCTTTAGAGTGAGTCAGTGATGAGGAAATGTTGATTTGAGGTGAGCTGGCCCTTTAAGACGGACAGGTTATTGATCAGACAGATGAGAGACTCAACAGCGCCCCCTATACAGTGATCAGCGCACATATGCAAATAAATCAAAATATAACCCGTTTCATCTCAATATCAGCACATTTATATCGAGGATCAGATGAACACACACACACACACACACACACACACATGATGGAGGATGATCATCAGTTTCTGCTGCAGTGATTCTCCGATCGACCTTCAGGAGGAACCGCAGATCAGCGTCTGACACGGCGAACACACACACACACACACACACACCCACACACTACACTACACACTCACACACACACCTTGATAGGAAGAGTGTACATGCATCTCTCTGTATCTGTGTGTGTGTGAGTGTGTGTGTGTGTGTGAGTGTGTGTACGTGTGTTTTCATCAGCGCCGCTCCCATTGAGCGCGCGCACACACACACACACACACGCGCACAGATGAAATGTCCTCTTATCCTGCATATACAGCAGTAATGATCATGAACGCGGTACTCACACTGCTCTGCTTTGGTGGACATGATGGAGAGCCACTTCTGTCCGTCACAGATGATGAGGATGAGGATGAAGATGAGGATCAGGTGAAGCGCTGGACCAACCGGAGCTCAGGAGCCGTGTGTGTGTGCCCGCCTTCAGGAGCGCATCATCACGGAGACCAGCGGCTGTGTGTGTGTGTGTGTGTGCACCTGTAGAGCTGCACTGATGATGATGATGATGATGATAAGCTTCCTGCTGCTCCAGAATACACACATACGGGTATTTTACAGTGCTGTACGCGGGGAACTCTTCACCCACAGCAGTGTTATGACACCCGGGCACGGTATAAGAGCTTATGTGTGCTCATCACCGCTGTGTACAGTGACATTAGCTGAATGACCTCCTCTTCAGTACAAACACAGCTCCTGTCTGACTTTGACATGTCCACATGAGATTATCCAGACATCGGCAGTCGTCATGATCTGTCCTCATCATGTCTGTGGTGGTGAGGTATTGATCACTCTTCTGATCACCTTTATTTAGTGAACACACTGAATGTGTGCTGGAGATGTCTGCAGATTGTCAATATGATGTTTATAACAGCATCACTCATGTGTCATGACATGTTCATAGTCAGACAGCAGCATCTCTGCATTTACACTGAGATGTACCTGCAGGAGCTCTGGAGGCTGACATTAGGATCAACAGACCGTGAACTGGCGGACCGGTTAGTCTCATACAGGCACGGAGAGCTTCCTGCCCGTTATCCGTGTTCACGGAGACACCCAACAGGCCCCTGCCCACCCTGAACCATTATCCAGGAGCTTTACTTCTCATTACTCTGGCTGCAGACGCTTTCTTCTTTTCTTTTCTTTTTTATTTGCAAAAAAACAGTTGACAAGTTTGTAGAAATATTTTGTTTACAATACAGAATATGAAACACATTATCAATGAGAGAGAGAGAGAGAGAGATGAATAAAGAACAAGATATAAACCTGAGGGTCAGACATTTAAGAATAAATCACAGGATGAAGTCATTACAACATCAGACTGTTCTGTTTGCTCTCCTATTTTCATTCATTATTTTCTTGTCGGCTTCAGTCTCTTATTAATCCGGGTCGCCACAGCGGAATGAACTACTGCTTTCCTATTTTAGATGAAATCAAGTCTAAATAATCACTGTATTCTTGCCAAAACACAGTCAAATATAGTGTGGTATTAGTAAATCTGCATTTGTGGATATGGAATTAGCAAAGAAAATAAATTAAAATTATAACAAAAGCAGCATTTCTGCTATTAGAGGCAGATTCACAATCACCAGCAATAACTTCTTTACCAGTAACAGAGGAACTGTTTCCAGAACTGCTCAGTGTAATCACTCCTGAAATAAAGGAAACAGTTTCAGAGTGAAGCGGACAAAAGCAGCATCTGACGTCAATATTAGAGTGAAACTTTGACAATAATTGCTTATAGGATAAACCTTGATCAGTTTAAAAGACACTTCTTTTATTAGCGGGACACTCCCCATCATAGATATACATGTGTGTGTGTGTGTGTGTGTGAGTGTGTGTGTGTGTGTGTGTCTGGCTCGAGATGGTCACAGTCCTCCACTGCAGCTTCGTCCCACATTCATGTCAAAGGAGCGCTACCCTGTACTAAAATGGCGGCTCTATTGACGCGATCCTTCCAATAGACAACAACACAGTAGACGACATCTAATGCAGATATCTATGGCTGAGGGTGCAGTGCTCCTCAGTCTATGATCTGAAACGGCAGCAGCGCAGCAGCAGAGTCCTGATGTCCAGATGTTCTGTTCTGCTGATCTTTAGTCCAGCCGTCTCCTCTTTCTGTCCCGCAGACCCTCCAGAAACTCCTGCAGACCCTCAGGAGTGAGCTGCTGAACACACAAAAACCCACAGACACAGTCAGACACACGCTTGACCTGATACCCTCTCTCTCACATGAGTGTCAGAAACACACTGACACACACACACAAATATGCACACACACACACACAAACATGCAAATACACACACAAATATGCATGGAATGCCTGGATGGACTACTTCATTTGCAGCATACAAATGAACACATTCCTTGAATTACTCTCCACAAGTGCCTAGTGCCTGTGTAAATGACTCTGTCCACATTCTAAAATGCAAATGACAATAATATACATTACAAAATTTGACGTTAAAGTTGCAGTATAACTTCACTGATGTTGATTATAATATGATTAGATAGCTCATTTTCTCATTCCAAACCTAAAAGGCATTCATTCATCCTCATGATACAAATGAAGGTATTTTTTATCCTTGCTTGATAGTCAATTGGACTCATGCTTAAGAGCTGGAGCCTCTGTTTCAGGCCGCATTTACACAAATACATTTCAGTTTTTAAATTGTAGTTTTGCTACAGTTACGCCTTCCATCTACACTACCCAAGAATTTTCCCGTTCGTAAAATAGAGCTTTTTGAAAACGTTGAAGAGGCTATTTTCGTTTTAAAGCGTTGCTGCTCTGTGTCCGTGCAGATGGGGGAAAAAGGAGATATCTGAAAACGGAGGCCTGGCTGCAGACATTCACCTATCTGATTAGGGCTTTTTGCTTGATATTAAGGGCACAGATTTCAGTCTTGCATTCTTTCCTTAAGTTCAGACTTCATAAGTTTGAAAAACAAACTCCCGAGAACAAAACAGTGAAAAACTGTACT